AGTCGGGCGAGGATAACATCTACTTAAAAATCTAAAGACCCCACTGCGAGGGTGGGGAACAACACTCTGGCCTTGGGAGCCTCATGTAGGACCAGGCAACTGCTGGAGCAACAGAACCTCACGTCATCATGAGTACAAACCTGCGGTCACCCAAGCTGAAGTTCTTAGGCAGTCCTTAGTGAACGAACAGACGGTGGTAGCAACGTTGGCAAGAAGGAAGCTCCCATCTCCGTGGCTTGGGCTGCATAAGATACCGTATTTTTCCAGAAGCTGCTGGTTTGCCGGTAAGGCGGCAACATCGCTAACAACCACCACAACCCCCACGCCGCTTTGCGGCATAACGAGGTTCTCTGGCTCTGACGAGGACTGCTTCAGTGCCTGAATCCACGTGCAGCTGTCCGAATCTGTCCGAAAGGCCCAGCCGTGGTACGCAGTTGAGCGTCCACAACCAGCTTGAAAAGCTAATTCATAAACTCATCCTCTCAGTTGGCTTCTATCCATCTGCCAGCCTCCCCGTTGCACCGATAGCCCCGCTCTCACCAGCGGCAACTGACTCAGCCATTTCTATCCTAAGTTCAAACACGACACTGCCATATTGGAACTTGGTGAAAGCGCCAGCTGCGCCAAGGTGCATACTCACCAAATGACGAACTTTTAGCTGTATGCCAATAACCTTAGACAGCAGTTTCGCCGTATGATTCACAAAATGTTGGGAGCATGTGCTGAGCAGTCTGATAGATTTTCGGGTGAGCTGCGTCTCCCTTTGTGACCGGCCCACGCAAGCTCATCAGACCGGTGACCAGCCTGAGATTACAGAAGCCAGAAAACCAAAGCTTACCGGGTCTTAGCAGGGAATATGGGAATATGCTCTTTGGGATTAATGAATATATCTCCCTCCCGCTCTGCTGAAGCTGCGATGGGATTAATAATTAATTGTAATAATATGATAGTAGTAGATCCCACCCCGCATAGCAATTGAAGATCCGCGCTCTGAACAAAGCCGTGCAACTCGTTCACGCTCAACTCTCCTCCTCCATCAGCATCCAGCACGTCGAAAAGCCCAACTCTGCCAGACACGTCAATGCTGGCCTGCCGGGTGGGTCTATGAGGGGGCAAGCGGGCGGAGGGCATGTGTGCTTCCTGTGGTCTGATAAACTGGGGCCTCCCCTCCCCAAAAACAAGCCTTGGCAGACCTTCAGATTAAGGTGACTAGGGTCAGCCCACTCCTTACGCAAAGCACATTCTTCAGGGCTTTACATGAATATGTCTGCTAATTGCCCTCGGCGTAGATCCTGCAGACATGCGCGTGTCCAATGAAGACTTCCTACTAAGACGTACAGCCTCAAGGCGTTTCGAGTCCTTTCGAACCACAGTGACCACTCTGAGATGTAACATCCCGAACCTTCAAATCCTTGTATTGTGTCGCCTGTCGTTTGCTTGTTTTTCTGTAGTTTCTGGTGTTGTTGCTTTGGGCATTTTATGAGGTTTGTTCCAGTGTATTGCTAAGTTTTCTGGTGTGCCTCGGTATTGTTGTATACAACTTTTGCACGTTGGTATTATCTATGAAAATACCATGTACTATGATATCACATCCTCTATAAAAATATGTCCCCTCATTTTCCCCCACACTGCACTTGATGTTTTTCTCTTTGCCCGGACTGCGTGAGCCGACCGGGTCGCCTTGATTTTGCAAAGTATGGTCAGGTGCCATCAGGGGGTTCAAGCTGAGGGGAAAAGAGGAAAACGACTGTTGTAGGTGGATGTTGGTATGTTTGTGTTCTCTGTAGTCGTTGGCGTTTTTGCTGTTAAAAGTTTGTGGTGAGCCTCTTTTTCTTCTCCCAGTAGTTTTGGCGGTTTGCTTTTGGCTGGAATTTATTCTTGGGGGCTTCCTTGGACTCAATGCAACTCTATTGTCGGCATCGTTTTTATGACTCTATTGCATCTGCATGAGCAAGTCCAGTCGGGGCTACGCAGACAGCCGAAGAGGTGCCAGGGCTGGCCCGGCGCAAGGGGTTTTGCCCGGAGTTCTAGCTACCGTATCACTGGCTGCGAGTTTCGGTGCTCACTGTCTCATGTTCCCATGCGGGGACTTATTTCTCAGGAGTGAGTTTTTAGATTGAATTAACCCTTTGGGTGGTCGAAAGAGAACAGTGGAATGGCCAGAAATATGGTCACGGTGGTTTTGCCCAAAATCTACGTCCTGCCAATCTGCCAAACCACGGAACACCAACAAACATTAGAACGGAGGAAAAAGGTCCCAAACCAAATAAGGAACTTGAAAAGAAGTTGATATGTTCTCCCCTCCCCATCATTACTGAAAAGAACTTGACAAGCACATTGTTTGGGTAATGCTCCAGTCAGTCCTTCTTAGCAGACCCCCCTATGAAAGTTTACGGATCCAGGCCTCTTCCAGAACACGAAGGAAGTCGGCATCTTGAAGCCATGTGGCAAACTCTTCCCGAGAAATATTCCGCCCTTTGGCCTCAACGCTGAACTGAATAACAGCAGTAATAGTACTGTAGCAATAACGGTCGGCCAGACCGTAAACGCGCGCCGATTCATCGGTGCGCAACGGTAGAGGACAGAATCCACTGCAAAACACAATATTTTTGAAAGCACGCACTTATGAGCCGTCCCAAAAAATACACGTCAAAAAATATGACAATTTACGCGTGCCTTGGCAAAAGCACTGCCTTTTGCAGGGATTCTCATCGCCAGGAATTTCAGATTTGATGATTTTGTCTTGAAGAGGCCTTGCATCCGGGGAGTTGTAAATTATAGGATTCGATCTATGGTTTGCGCATTGATGCTCTGCATGGATGCTCTGGTGACCGGATGCACTGGGAAAACAAACGTTTATCATGGTTTGAGTATGGATGCTCTGGTGACCGTATGCTCTGGGAACACGACCGTTATTACGGTTTGGGCATGGATGCTCTGGTGACCGTATCCACTTGAAAGACGAACGTTATTATTATGGTTTGGGCATGGATGCTCTGGTGACTATATGCACTCGGAACACGAACGTTATTATGGTTTGGGCATGGATGCTCTGGTGACCGTATCCACTCGGAACACGAGCGTTATTATGGTTTGGGCATGGATGCTCTGATTATCGGCTGCACTCGGAAGACGAACGTTGTTATGGTTTGGGCATGGATGCTCTGGTGAGCGCACGCACTCGGAAGATAAAAACGCCAAGCGCGGTACGAAGTATTTCGGGCCCTCGAAACACTTCGAATGCGTGGTTCGCGCCACGCAGGCCACATCCGGAGAGGTCGGCCAATTATGCATGTTTTGCGCGTTTACGCTCCGGCGGAGCCAAAAACAATGGAAAAAATAATCATGATAGTAAACAATAAAAAGAATTACAGTAAGAATGATGACTCAACATGCAAGTCATAATGTGATGATGCAAAATGCACAGGATCCGAATCGGTGTCAGTCAACACAATGCAAAACCAGAGCTGCCTGCAATACCCAGTCCATACCTTCTGACCTGGTCTTTGGGTCAGATGTTTCGCGGAAACTCCGTCTCCTCAAACCCAATTTGCGAATGATGTGCTCCTCCAAAGACGCCGCAACTTCTACAGTCGCAAAGATCTCGCATACATCAAAGACTCGTCCAAGAACAAAACTGGAAACAGGTGCCACGCATGAGCACAACCCTTGTCCTTTATCTTCATCTCCATGGGGAGTGCTGTTTCAGAAATCTCATTTTGCTTTCGAGTGAACTGCGAACTCATCACATTCCTCACATCTGCTGCTGGTCACTGGCGAATTGAATTCATGGGCATTGAAACACCTGCTTTCCCAGAGCATAATGCATACAAGTAGCTCAATGAAAACAGCCATTATCAAGTTAAACACACCCACCGTGATCAGCATGATGATAAAAATGTAGCCAATCTGCCAAAGCGCGCTTCCCGGTACTGATACTTCCGTGCCCTCTCCCATTCTGAGCTGTGGACAAGGAAGACTCCACCATAGTCCAGGTGCAAACGTGCAGCCAAAGAAGTCCCATCATAAGCCGTACAACCATCCGTAAAGCATCTGAAGCCTTGGGTTTTGGCAGCGGGGACCAGATGTCGTCTTGAGCTGACAGGAAACACCGGGCCAATCAACGCGCCCTTTTCTCGGAAAGGCTCTGCTCTGTTGCTGACGGCTAAGGACTTGGCACGTGAACATGGCCGCCAAAACGGTCTCGAACTCCTGACGTTTGTGTTTATCTGCTCGGCTGTGCAGCAAGCCGCCCCACCGCCACACGCAGACATTTTCAGCACCTGCTGTCGATCGCCAACAAAATTTCCTGAGGTGCATTGACATCATAATCATGCCGCGCACCTCGTTACGCATCTGCTGTGCAGACAGGTGGCGCATGACCACTCCAATTGCGTACACAACCATGAGGAGCAACACGATCGCCCAACCAATCACACGCAATCCAGAGACCACCCCCATCACAATCCTTAAATGTCACTCCGGAAACTGGGGGGCGGATGCAGTCCCATATGGATCAACGTGTTGGGCTTTTGAATCTGGAGGACTGCATTTCCAATGCATGATGCACACTCCGAAGAATCTGCTCGTAACAAGTTCGCTCAAACGAGATTTCTGGAAAACTTGTTGCATTAATCGTTGTGTTGCATTTACGCAAAGTACGCCTTGATCCGAATCTTCGTGATGCCGACAGTGCCACGACGCAATAACGCAACGTGAACCCAAATGACGATTGAGGTGCTCCCCATGGATTTTTCCTTCACGTTGAACGTATGTAGACGTGTGCCTGAAGGATGGCCAATAAATTTTGGACGCCACCGCCCAAGTTAAATTCGCTTTGGAAACAGAGCATCTGCTGGTAGCACCTTGCGCTTTGTGGCGTGACAAATGCACTCACGGCACATGTGTTTTACTCGGCCATGGGCGCTGGACATTGGACGAAAATCAAGATTGGTGCCACAACGCCTGCGAGGACAGTAAAGCCTGGCTGTGGAATCAATGATGGCCACACCCACATGATTTACATCCCTGTTCATCCAGCCAAACCATTGTAAGGATATGTTGGGGACTGATGGAAGCTCGGGCAACCCAGGTGCGCAACATCAAGAAAACAAACACTACATGTCAGCCTGGATGCAGTTTCAGTTCGTGGAATGCCCGGAACCGCAATGCTCGAATCAACCGTGCCAATCGAGCAAGCCGGAAAATTTTCATGAGGGTCAGGCTAGATATGGCCTCACGCAACACATGCCAGCTTCCACATGCATGAATGCAGGCTGGTCGATTGAACACAATACCTCGTTCGTTTCCGATTCAGCGTGTCCCTGCGCGAGCAGCGCTGTGGTGAAGATGGTGTCAACCTGAGCTTTCCGGTTTGCAAGATCACGTCTCAAATGCATGCGAAAGTATACCCAGCTGCAAGCATGGCACGTACATGACAGCCAAACAAGCACAATCGAACCAGTTCCACGCACGCTCGTTCCCACACCAATACCATTGGCATCCAAACACCTTCACCTGGACAGCTGTGCGGAAAGAGCAGTGAGCGACGCACGGCCATGTCCACAATCTCCACACTTCAATACTGAGCTGCCTTGGCTACGAATTCCATCGTGTAAAAGATGACCTTGGATGGTGTTGGGAGTCCACAAAACGATTTGCAAAGCAGGCAATTCTGCAAGCAAAAGTTGTTCTACATGTTTCCCCGCGTACCTACGCTCACATGTTGTCCCACCATGGCTGCCCCACCAGCTGCTCATCCCTGATTCAATTTATGTTGCCGGTACGCACCCGTTTTTTTCCTTCTCGCCTTGCCGCAGCTGCGAGGTGACACGCCGCCATGAGGCGCGGAAGCAATAACCAAGATCAGAACCGCATTGTCGTGCAGCACGTCTTCACGTCTTGGCTCCACATGCGCATCTAAGAGCTTGACGTCGCGCTTTCGCATCTTGCATGGGGGATTTTCGCATTCCAGTATAATATCACGCTCTCGAGATTCCATCCTGACACATTGGCCAAAAATTGAACTCTCACAGCGTGCAACCGTGTTCCCGCAGGGTTACGCATGTTGGCGCGAGCTCGTGCCGAACTCACACGTTGTGTGCCTTCGAAGCCGCAAGCACACCATCGTGCGGCCGTGCGGCGTGCAGCCTCAATTGATGGCGGATCACCATTGGCAAAAACCGCATGCCAAGCTGACCAAGGCGCATGGGCACGCCAAACAAAACCAACATGCAAGTTTTCCTATCACCACAGCGTTGCGCGGGTGACGTGCAACCCAATGCCTGCAAAATCACGCCAAGCGACAATCGGACAATGCAAATGGGCTCAAACACTGGAGCTGGGATCGGCAGTGGCCTGTTTTTTTCATCACGGACTTTTTATGCCTCCTGCGAAACAATTTCAGGCCGGTCTAATATACTTTAATTTCGCTCAATTTGCGGGGTCAACTTTTTTCTTTTTTTTTTTTTCTCGG